TGACAAGAGATTAATTTATAACCGCACAGCAGACAAGATAGTTCAGGCTTCGGTGGGGTGGCACTGAACTGTGGCATGGGGCATTGCTCAGAAGGCGCCTGGATGTGCAGCTGGGTGGAGAGGCTGAGAACTTCAGATCCCCGTTGCTTCCTAGAGGCCACCTGGTCCAAATAGAGAGGGAAAATATTCGCTGGTCTTAAAAAAAACACCTGTCCAGGCAATAGCCAGGCACATTAGGAAAGCCCAGTTTAAAAAGTCCAATTAAGAGGGAGCATCAGAAAAAATTTAAAAAGAAGGAGCATTGGCCTGCCAACCCACCCGGGGTTCCCTGACCAACCGTGTAGGAGGGGAGCAGGGAGAGAGGAGGCAATGGAAAGATGGAGAAGAATGGACAGGAACTGGGGCATAAGAAGTCATTCCTACAGCCTGAAGCACCAGCTTGTGAATTGTTCCCTCTCCAGTGAGGGCAGGTCTTTGAAGATCTGCCCTCTCATCCCACATGCACCCCCCTCTTCGCTCTCCTCCCTAATTCTGGGCCCAAAAGAGGTGATGCACAGGCCCCTCTGGGGCCTGATTTTTATGCTTCAGACATTGCTTTTACATCAAGTAAAATGACCGTTTTCTGACACGTTGATGAGCATGGCTGGAGACGTAGGCTGTGGATGCTGCCATTTTGTCAGCTTCAGTAATCTCTTATTTCCAGCCAGGATAGTCCTTAAGTCAAGTCTATTCATCAGGAAAGCCTCTGACAATACTGCCCTGATGGAACTGAGCTCGGAGGGCTATTTGTTAAGCCACAGTCTCACTAGAGAAAGAAGATTTAAAAAAGCAATGTAAATGGAACTAAAAATAGGAGTGCAGCTTGCATTACAAATGGGGGGCACAGATAATAGAGGAAATCCTCTGTGCGTTGCTAAAATATGGGCTTCCTACCCAGGAGGATTCTGGAAGCCCAGGTGAATGAGAGGTGACTTATGCTTGATTTTCTACCAGGAGCCTGATTCTCATCATTTTGATTCGATCCCACTGCCCAGCCCTGTAAATGCATCCCATGTAGTGTCCTGTCTGTTTTTGTTGATGCTGTTCCTTTGACTCAGAATGCCCTTCTCGCCTTTCTTCACATCGTTCACTTTTGTCAATCATCAAGACCTGGCTGAGGCATCATCTCCACCAGAATGCCTTCCATGAAACTTCAGGTTGGACCACAGGTTCCTTTGGTTTCGTATATAAGGTTTCTTATATCTATTGCAACAGTATCTGTGGGTTCTCAACCCTGATAGGTGGTTTAGCATCACCTTGTGAAAAATACAAATCCTAGATGCCCAAATCTCCTAGGGTGAGATTCGGGAAGCTGTGTTTTTATTAGTGTGTTTTGGATGCCAGGCCAAGGTTAGGTAGTCTTTTCTATTCTATGTCCCCTGGGCCTGGGCACAGGGCTTAGGTCATGAAGACTGTGTATTACTGTGCCCAAATAGCCCTTAGGCCTGGTAGGAAAAGATATGGAAATGCAAGGCCCATGCCCTTTAATTTTCACCTTTTCATCTATTCATAGCTCCTGCTTTGTGTCCCAGACCCTGTGCTGAAGACACAAGAGCAAAACCCAACACTGTCTGCCCTCACACAGCCCTCACACAGCTTACAGTCTAGTAGAGGAGATGCAGGCAAATCAAATTACTTACACATGAGTGTGCAATATGGGTGTTGACAAAGAAAAACAAAGCTGCTCTGAGAACCTATAACGGACTTTGGCACAGGCCGGGAGGCCAGGGAAGGCTGAGCTGAGCTGAGCCCTAATGAGGAGTAGTGAAGGATGGGGAGGAGCAAGGAGCCATCTGTTACTGGGCTCTTCTCAGAACTGTGTTGTTTTGGAAGCCAGCTGGGAGGCATTGGGTTATAAGCCCCTCTAGACACCCAGATGGTCTCCGAGGGGAGCTTCTCCTCATACCCGCCTACAACCCAGCCTTCACGTCTGCTTTTCTGCCATCTACTCTTGCCATGAGCCTTTGGGAGATGATGTATCTGTAAGCAAAGAGCTATTTTTCCTTGCTGGGGGCTGCCTGCTAACATATACAGTGCCTTTGCTGAATGACAGAAAGGTGCACCTCCTTGAACTGACATGATCTTGCATTGAGCACATGGCTTGGCTAGTGGAGTGCAGGCTGGATTTAAGCCATCCGCCTCTAATCCCTTACCCACACCCCCATCAGCTGAGCACCCTTGTACAGAGAACAGCTTGGACAGTCTGTGGTGGCCCTGCTGCAGTCTCAAGCAGAACATTCTGGGTTCTTGGCTCTTCCTCATAGCTGGAAGATTCCTTTATCCTAGGAGAAGATAATTACATCTTCCATGGACATAAATCTCTTTGGACATTTAGAAAGGAATTTATATGTATTTTCTGGAGAACTGGGTGTTTTTCTTATCTAAATTGAAAAGAGGATTCTTTTCAATACGATCCAAGAGAGTTCTTTCATATGGTAATTCACACACACTCTGGCTGATAAGCCCTAGACTTGGCATAAGGTTCAAAGCAGAAATTGTGTTCAGATGAGGCACAGGGATGCTTTTTGATCTGATTTGCTTTTAGTTGCTGACATTGGGATAATTTTGGCCTCCGAGTAGCAGTAGGCCTCAAAAACGTGGTAAAACAAGATCTTTTTTAAGAAAGTCTGAACTACCCAGAATGGATGGATGGAAGAGTCCTCGTACATTTGGGAGAATCATTTTCTAATGAATGATAACTCTCATCGCATACTAGCCAAGCTGGAGTGGCTCTTGAGAGGCACCTCATCCAGAACCTTCCTGTTACCAGTGAGGAAACTGAGGCTCAGAGAGAGAAACTGGGTTGGCTTAGGTCACACAGTGATGGCAGAGCCAGGTTGACACCTG